AGAGAGAGTGATGGTGAGAGACATATATATATATATATATATGGAGAGAGAGAGTGATGGTGAGAGACATATATATATATATATATATATGAGAGAGAGTTGATGGTGAGACATATATATATATATATATATATATATATATATATATATATATATAGAGAGAGAGAGTGATGGTGAAGAGACATATATATATATATATATATATATATATATAGAGTGATGGTGAGAGATATATATATATATATATATATATATAGAGAGAGTGATGGTGAGACATATATATATATATATATGGAGAGGTGATGGTGAGAGACATATATATATATATATATGGAGAGAGAGTGATGGTGAGAGACATATATATATATATATGGAGAGAGAGATGGTGAGAGACATATATATGGAGAGAGAGAGTGATGGTGAGAGACATATATATATATATATATATATATATATATATATATATATGGAGAAGTGAGTGATAGTGAGAGACATTTTTATATATATAGAGAGAGGAGTGATAGTGAGAGACATTTATATATATATATATATGGAGAGTGAGTGATAGTAGAGACATATATATATATATATATATATATATATATGGAGAGTGATAGTGAGATCCATTTATATATATATATATAGAGAGAGAGAGTTATAGTGAGAGACATTTATATATATATAATACATATATATATATATATATATATATATATATATATATATATATATATATGGAGAGGCGTGATAGTGAGAGACATATATATATAGAGAGAGAGGGGGAGAGAGAGCGTGATAGTGAGAGACATATATATATATATAGAGAGAGAGAGAGAGTGATAGTGAGGGAAATTTATATATATATAGAGAGAGAGAGAGATAGTGAGAGACATTTTTATATTTATATATATATATATATATATATAGAGAGAGAGAGACACACACATATATATATATATATATATAGACAGACAGAGACATATAGATATATATAAAGAGAGAAAGAAACATATATATATAGAGATGTATATGTATAGTTATATAGATATATATACAGATATATATATATATATATAGAGAGAGAGAGAGGCTGACAGATATGTCTGTTTGCCGTTCATATGGTGTTTATACGATAATTCAGTATTACTTGTGTGTGTGTGTGTGTGTGTGTGTAAAGAGTATTTATACGCATGCAAACACTAATGTGAGAACGTGTGAAAATATTAATTTAAAAAATATTTTTTTAAAATTTATTAAAACTTGATGAGTCTGTACATTTTTCGTGCATGTGTTTGTGGGTGCAACTTTTATCTGGCGTCCGAAGCCAGTGTTCATATTTATTTATTTATTTATTTAGTCTAATTTTAGATTTCCTGAATTACAGTATACCAAAGACAAATTTCGGTAACTAAATTTTAATAGTAGTAATTATACTACTAATAAATAATAATATTAATATTGTAATGCATGGTCTATCCTTATTATACTGGGTGTCATAATGGGTATATTGTGCTTCGTGCCTGTATTTGTACCCTGGCATCACTTTGTTGACGCACTATAGCACTCAACAATAATAATAATGAAGAAGAAAAGGAGAAGATGGTGAAGAAGAAGAAGAAACCTGTTCTGATTAACTTCCGCCTTGTGTCCCGAATCGACAAATAAAAAGTTTATTTTTAAGTAGCGTAGTAACAACATCCCAGAAAAGATCTTCACGCAGTCTTTCCCAATATGAATACCGGTTAACTGTCCTGCTCATAACTCCCAGATAAAGATACAAACAAGATAAACTTCGTTAATATCATTTAAATAATATAAACAGAATAAAATAAAATAAACAAATCACGGCCCTAACTGATGTCATAGAAAACAAATGGATACCCAGGAAGTAGCTGTATGAATTTTGGATTGATTGTTGGAGTTGATATTTAGAGACAGGTTGTTGAACATTTTACAATAGCGGGGGATGATGTTCAGGGTTGACTTTCTTTTTTAACAGGAGCAAAATGTTGGCAAAGTTTGTAAAGCGAAAGCAAGAGCACCCTTGCAAATACAGTGGGTGGGTTAAAGACTTTTCTTCTACTGAAGTGTCACATTTGTTAAGAATAAAGAGACGTATATAAGGGTACTTACCGTTCGCACATGTTTGACAGTAAAACAAAACCATTGGACAGCCGACCGACTCAAATATTAGGAAAAGAAAGATTTTTGTTTGGAATTTTTCTGCTCTTTTTTCTATATTCGAGTGTAACCATTAAAAATACAAACAGGTATAACTTTTCGTTTTACTCTTTTTCCTCGTATATAGTTTTTTTTTTACTTTCTCTTTTTTTCGTTTTTTTTCTTTCTCTTTTTTTTCGTCTTTTTTTTTTCTTTTCTTATGATTCCTTTTTTATTTATTTATTTATTTCATTGATTACTTGTACCTTTTGTTATTTTCGTTATTTAAACATTTGTTGCAATTTTTTCAGTATTGTGTTTATAATTTATTTAGATATATTTTAATTCGATTCCTTTCAAATAAAATAGTTTTCTATCTTTTGTTATTTTATAATCTCTTTGTCAAGTAATTTCCTTTCGTTTTCCTGATCTTACAGCCTTTCACGGTTTGTATTTTCATTCATATTTATATAAGTTGAATTGTTTATTATTGCTTTGTCTTGTAACTATTTTTACTACTACTACTGCCGCAGTTGACTCTTTCTTTTCAGTTTTTCTTATTTTTTCTTTCTTTTTTTTTTTTTTTACTTTAAATCCTCCCTTCCGTTCTGTTTTCTTTTCTATCTATTTTTCTTTGTTTGTTTGTTTTTCTTTTTCCCTTTCTTTTTTTTTTCTATTTTTTACTTTTTCTTTATCTTCTTGTCCGAAATTGTATTCCTTGTTGGGACGATGATGTTAAAAAAAAAAAACGGTGCAGAAATACCGGCCGATTTGTGCAATGTCTTGGCTGCAATTTGCCATAGTATGTTTACATGAAATTCATAAGCATGTTAGGAGCGTATTGATCGTAAGCGAGGGAAGCTCTCAGCCAATCACTGACCAGCGTTATTTAAAATGCCCTGTTCTGTGTATGTGCCTCACAACGCCTGGCAGCTTATCGATCTAGACGTAAAGCCTTGGATGGTGGATGGTGGACTCTCTCTCTCTCTCTCTCTCTCTCTCTCTCTCTCTCTCTCTCCTTACCTACCTATCTATCAATCTATCTATCTAGCTATCTAGTTCGTTAGCCCGCAGCGGCAGTAGTTGAGCGGGTGAAGATAACTGAGGAAATAGTACACGAGAAAAACTTGAAAAAGCAGTAATAGTCAAGCTTAGCTCAGAGATAAACTCGTGAGGAAAATACACACACATCTTTCTTTTTGTGTGTGTGTGCAGAGTGTATATATATATATATATATATATATATATATATAAGCTAGAGAAATTTTAAAAAAGAGAGTGAGGAGGACAGGCACACAAAAAAATATGAAGAAAAGTAACAGCACATAGATTGAGATAGTAACAAAAAGAATAAGAAAATAAATAACCGACTAAAATTAAACACAAAATAAACAAGGGTTCTGAATGACTATGTGAAAGAAACTAAAAAAAAAAATAAAAATTTAAAAAACCAAACTTGATAATTTTGCGAAGCGCCATTTTTTTTAGCTCCTTCAAAATGAGGAACGATGAAAAAAAAATGCAACAAGTCGGAATGCACCTCTATTTCAGCCTCACTTGTGGCCGAAATATTTGCTTACTTCCTCGCTGACACAAGTCGCTGTTCATATTCAGGTAAAAGGAAATTATAATTCATAGTTTTCTCTCCTATGAGATATTTAGCTTTAACTTTACAATGTTTCGATCGAGTCTCCGCTCATCTTGTAGATTCTCGCTTTGGTACTATACATACTAAGTTATGAATTGAAAGTTTCAAATTTAACTTACTCTTGTCTAGTGACCAAGTACATAAAACTTTATAAAAGTTTGATAAATACGTTTCTCTTATAACAAAAAAAGAATATACCAACGTTTACAGGTATTTTTGAAGAAGAAAAAACACTTCTCATATTTGTATATAAGGAATTAAATATAAAACCATTATTTTGAATGCTGTATTTTCAAGGTAGGCAGGCCATCCCCAGTTGGAAAATTGACACAATACAGACTCGGTTACTTCAATGCAAAGTGTGCATAGCTGTGTAATAGTTAACAATCAAATCTTTATGCCAAAATAGTGTTAACTAAAGAGATGCCTTTTTTAACACAAAATAAAATTGCTGTATTTGATGGCAAATAAGACCCATTTTTTTTCTCTTTCTATTCTTCACTAAATAATACTTAAAAAAAAAATTACCATCAGTTCTTCCGGTGTCTGGTAGGTTATTGTTTAGTCCAATGGTCATAGATTACCAGTGTTTTTAACCAGGCTCGCCGCGAAAGTTTTTCAAGTTGATGGGAGTTGACCTTTAATTCAAGGCAGTAGCTAGTAAGAATGTTAAAATCTATTTTACATCATTTTCAAGGGGGTTGGGGAGTGATTTTCATGGTGGGGAGGCTGTCCCCTTGGCCATAGGACCGCATCTATTGGTAGTAATGTCCGAAAATAAAAAGAAAAATATATAAAACAATAAAGCGAAGAAAGTTGATGTAAAGAATAAAAATGAGGGGCTTTGAAAATTATAATTTAAGGAAGGTTAAAAAAGAAAGAAAATGAAGAAGGCTAGAAAGGGATCAGGAAGGAAGGCTAGAAAAGGATCAAGAAGAAAGGAAATGAAGAAGGCTAGAAAAGGATCAAGAAGGAAGGAAATGAAGAAGGCTAGAAAGGGATCAAGAAGGAAGGCTAGAAAAGGATCAAGGAAATGAAGACGGCTAGAAAGGGATCAAGAAGGAAGGAAATGAAGAAGGCTAGAAAGGGATCAAGAAGGAAGGAAATGAAGAAGGCTAGAAAGGGATCAAGAAGGAAGGCTAGAAAAGGATCAAGGAAATGAAGAAGGCTAGAAAGGGATCAAGAAGGAAGGCTAGAAAAGGATCAAGGAAATGAAGACGGCTAGAAAGGGATCAAGAAGGAAGGAAATGAAGAAGGCTAGAAAGGGATCAAGAAGGAAGGCTAGAAAGGGATCAAGAAGGAAGGAAATGAAGAAGGCTAGAAAGGGATCAAGAAGGAAGGAAATGAAGAAGGCTAGAAATGGATCAGGAAGGAAGGAAATGAAGAAGGCTTGAAAGGGATCAGGAAGGAAGGCTAGAAAAGGATCAAGAAGGAAGGAAATGAAGATGGCTAGAGAAATTGATCAAAAAGCAAATGAAGAAAGCTAAAAAAGAGTGATCAAGGTAAAAACTGAAGAGATCACGAATAAGAATTTCTAAATTTTGTTTATATCATTTTCACAATGGTGGGGGAGTGATTTTCTTGGTGTACAGGTCATTTGATAATGGTGCTCTATATACCTTATCTAACGCCATAATAGAGTAATTTTAAATGTAAATGGGCGGAAGTCTTAGATGTCCTCCAATACAGTATTCATTGTTGTTTTTAAGAACTCAGTATAAAAAGTTAGTACTTCATATTATTCCGCCCTACGAATATTGGTGTGACCATATTTCTAGCCGCTACCCGCTCCCGCTAAACCTTTTACTGAGCTAAATTTATTATATTTGAATAGCAATTCAAGGTTTTGATAGACAATTGATCGTAAATAAGACTAAAACGGGACAGGCAAATGTCGAAAGAGATAAGCTTCGTAAAACAGAAAGAAGGAAGGAGTAAAGAAAGAAATTGTAAATGCCTTGCAAAGCGAGGGCTTGGGTGAAGATTTAGATCGAGATGTAGTTAAAATGGAAAAGGATTTAAGAATAAAAATCCCTAAGCTTACGGACAAGTCCCACTGAAAGATCACCTAAGGTAAATAATATTTAACCAGTTCGAATACGTAAAATAGGTGACCCCCAACCCCTGGGGAAATTCACATCACGATTGGTGTGATCCATTAGAGTCGTAAGATCAACGTTTGTCTAGGACAAGATAACCTGACAGAGCTCATCGCTCTCCAGACTGAGTTAGTGTTCAGAGTTTTCCGTCTCTTAGACTGGTTGCCATCCAAGGTAACTCTGTCTGCCCTGCTATGTAACCCATAGCTGGAGGAAGTGAACTAAGTTCACCGATTCCACTTCATTCGTTAGACAACCTGCACATCCCAATGAGAACTCCCAAGCCTGTAGCCTTGTGTCAGATAACTGATAGAAACAAAGAATGCTGAAATTACTGATAGAACATACTAAATGTTAAATATGATTTTAATCAAATTTCTCTCTACGCTAAAGTAATTTTTGTCCGCGTGGAGAGCTTGTATTAGAAGCGACTTAGTTTTTTTTAAAAAAAGAAAATAACATATTGGGAGCCCGAAAGAAAGTTAAAAGTTGATTTGGAAATATATACGAAGTAAAAGAAAAGACAAAAATAAAATAAAGTTTTGGGATCAGGGACTGTGGGTGGCTTTAAAGTGGTCGCGCGCGGGAGAGATATCGACGGCCAGGTGTGCGCACGTGCCCGTGAGATTTTTAACAGGTAAGGAACGGTGAAAGGTGGCGGTTTACACACACGAAAAAAAGGCTGTAGCGTACAATTAATGAGTCAAGTAAGACATAAATGCAATTAATATGAATTATTGAAATATGGTTGGGTATTTGCTGAGTTGAAAATATGGAAAGCGAGAGTAAGAGAATAATGTTAGCAAAAAGCAAAATAAATTGTAATAAAAAACATGTTTCAAAAAGAAGCAGAAACAAAAAAAATACGTTTTATAAATTAAATACAAAGAGAAAACTTTGATATGAAAAGAATAATGCATTTAATAAACAGTTCATTTCGGCACATGGACCGAAAATAGTATTGCGCCAAGCTTTCTGTCATTTTGCCTATCTCGAAAATCAGTATCGGAAAGGTCAGCTTTTACTTAGGCTTGCCTCCCACCCCGATGGTTGTCTCAAAATACAAAGTATCTCAGGTATTACAGAAATTTAAATGAAAAAGAAAGAAACGCAAAACAATAGAGCGAAGAAAGTTAAATGAAAATGAGCGGGAAGGGAAAATTATAATATAAGAAAGAAACCAATGAAAAGGAAGTTTAGAAAAGAAAGAGCAAGAATGAAAAAAAATAAAGACGTCTAAAAGAAATAGTGATTGAAAAAAAAAAGTCAGAAATTAAAGAAGAAAAGTTATAAAAGTAAAAAAGAAAGAGTGAATAAGAAAATTAAAAGAAAAGTCAAAAAGTGAATAAGAAGAAAATAAAAAATGAGGAATATTTAAAAAAAAAAAAGAAAAGAAAAGTGAACAAGAAAGAAAGAAAGAAGCTTACAAAAGAAACAAAAAGTAAAACGAAAGAAAGTGACGATGAAGGTTAGAAAGTGTAAGCAAAGAAAAAAAAGAAACTTTAAAATGAACGTAGAAGATTTAAAATGAGACAAAAGAAAGGAATATGAAAGTGAAAGTTATTAATACTTAAGAGAGGCAGAAATATGCGCCTTTTTGCACGTGTGTGTATGTGTGTGTGCGTGCGTATGTGTAAGCGAATAACCTAGTGAATGGCTGAATCCGATGTAGCGAGAAAGAGTTAGAGAAGAGATAGAAAGATTGAGGGAGTTGGTTTATAATGGATGTGAATTGATGAATTGTGGGAGATGGTCGCCATGTGTGCTTGGAGTAGCATGGAGAAGATGGCGGGGGTGGGGGAAGAAGACGGAAGAAATCTAACCAGCAGCAAACGGATAGGTTTGCAAAATAAGACAGACATTTGAACGTGGAGAATGATTCATAAAACAAACAGGTCGAAAAGAAAAACAGGAGGTCTAAATACAGAGAAATGGACTGAAGGGACGTATATAAAGGAGAATAGATTAAGTATGAATTTATACAGTCTGTGCACGTTATAACACAAGCAGCCATGTTTCGATTTTTTAGATAGATACATAGGTAATAGAATATGATTTATAAATTCCTATGTATGAGAGGAGTTTTAGGCAAATGAATGACAAAGTGGAAAACCTCTGTGTAACCCGTTTTGCCCTTTAGGACTTTATCTGACTACGGCGACATCAATGTAAATAATTAAGGAAGAATATAAAATAGAAAATTCTATAAATCAGAACAATGTTAGGCAAATGAATGACAAAGTAAAAAAATTTTGTATAACACATTTCGGCCTCTAAACAGACTTCATCAGACTACGGTGCCATCAATGTAAATAATTAAGGAAGAATATGATATAGAAATTTCTATAAATCAGAACAATGTTAGGCAAACATGTTCTCTCTGTTTAAATCGTCCTGGGTATGACAATAAACTACTTCAAGCAACAATGCATCTGATTGGGAGGTTTTGACGAGCGTGGCACCACCTCTTAATTGCTGTTGTTCCCAAGTTGACTCGAGGTGGCAGCACCTGTTAGGGTTCCAGCTATGGACAAATATGGACCCCGACAAAACTGGGATCAAAACATTATGAAAGTATAAAAATACATTTTTGTAGTAAAACTACCAGCAATACATTTTCATAGTAAAAAAAAAAATACCAGCAAGTCCTTTTTGAAAAATAATTACTAAAGCTCTCCCAAGAAAATTAAATTTTGGTATGAAATGACCTATAAGGAATTGATATGCCGTTAAACAAACCAAACGAAACTAAAATTTAAATTTTCCCAAACTTCTTTTTCTGACATTCTTTTCTTCTTTGTTTTTTTTTTTTTTATCTTCCCTTCTTTTTTTTTTATTCCTCTATATTCTTCGGAATTTCCAATGTTATGTTCCAACCATTCAGTAAATTTACAAGTTTCTCTTTGAGCTTATACCTTTCATACGAACAATGACAATATTTCTTAGTCTACTTCATCTCGTATCCAAGAATTTAATTTTTTCTCTTATGATCGCTTCCCTTATGATGATATCGTTGGCGACTAAGTAAACCAATTCTTGCATAGAAGAGACGATGGCATTGACTACATAGTAAAGTTGGTTGAAGACGAGGTCGATTTTGTCGAGCATTTCTCTCTTGTTTGACGACTTCTGTTTCCCTTCTGGTGCCTTCGAAGTCTTTGGTTCCGATGAGGTTGAAACATTGCCAATTGACACGGTCTTGTGCTTGTGCTTGTGATTGTGATTCAAACGATTTAGGTTCAAGTCCAGTGACTTTCAGTGCTGTTTACAGTTGGTCCTTGTATCTTCGAAGATACGTGGTCTTTTTTCTTCGCTCAATAAGACTTGACGTGGAAACTTTGACGCTTCTATTCTTAATACGTGTCCTGTTTCACACATATCGGCGTGGTGTAATGACTAACAATCTTATCTTGCTAGATCAATTACAACTGAATAGTGAGTTCGATCCTCACTGGGTGCTCCACACTTTCGGCCTTGTGCCACATCTAAGCAACGCTTAGAAAATCATTTGATACCTGGCACAGGGAACCGTCTCTGTGCTGGTAGTATCACTGCTATGACTAGCTTGGACCGGATCTGACCAGATTGGACAAGCTATGACCAGTTAAAACCAGCGGCCCGAGTGAAGACACTCACGTCCTCACGTTAAAAACGGACCTTGTGTCACAACCTGACTCAGTGCTGTGGGGTTAAGTAAATCACTTCTTAATACGTGTCCTGACTATCGAAGACTGTGTTTAATGTCAATGCTTTGATTGTTGTTTCTTTCCGGGACTTTGGTGTTAGTTACAAAGTAATTCCATTTGATATTCAATCTTTTCATATCTGAAATTAAAAATATATGAATATGTAAATTACTCTGCGTTTTTACAATATAATGAATAATTCTCGGGTTTCATAATTATGTTATCGTAAACATTTCTCATAAAACATAAAATGAAATCCACATTGAAAAATTATTATATTAAAAAATATTTATATAATTTTAATAAAAATCGATTGATTCATGACAATTTTATTGTGAAGATATGGATTTACATAATAAGAAATGAGATCAAGTACATGTGTGATGTGCGTAGCGTAAAGGCTATCGGAAGGAAAAGTAAATTCGGCGTGCCAAGTTCAAATTCCAGCCGATTTCGTTGCGTTTACTTTCATACATATGCCATTAGGAAAGATATATACCCATCTCTTCTCCATCCCACGTCAACTATGGGTTAAATAGCAGCGAAGACAGGGATCTTTAACCTTGGCTGGCTACCAGTATAGGAGAAGGATAATTCTGGGTTCAAAACCGGTTTGGCGTGGGGCATGCAACTCCACCCCGTAAAAACCTACTTGCGACGAAAATGCAACAGCAACACCTGTAGTGAGGCTGTAACCCGAGCATGGTAATGCTGTGGTGCTATATTTCATAGAAGAGTCTAATGATACTAATGTGAAATAAAAGTGTATACAGGCATACGTATCAAAAACATAGTGGTACTTAAAAAAAATACATACCTAAATATGAATACCTGAGATAGAATGTGATATTCCAGAGATATTTTTTACATATTTTCTATTTTTAGTAGCTTTGAAATGGGATAGACATCTGTCCTTCTTTACAGCAGCGAATGTTGGACGATTTCCTCAAAGATGAAGAAGCGACTCGAGGCGATAGATATGTGGTTCTACAGAAGGATGCTGAGGATATGGACCGAGCGTGTGAGCAACGATGAGGTCTTAGAAAGGTTGCAAACAAGGAGAAGGCTTATACTTAATATCAGGAAGCGGCAGCTGAAGTTTCTGGGACGCATAATGAGGAAAGAGGATCTGGAGAATCTGATACTCCCGAGTCAAATAGAGACATCGGAAAGCAACATGTGACATACCTAGCAAACTTAAGCAAGTGGATGACAGAACTTGGGGGAGGAAGCAGAGGGAAGGAACTTGTTGAGAGCTGCAAGTGATAGAAGGAGGTGGAGAGCCATGATCGTTCTGAAAGGACATGGCACATTAAAAAAAGATGGGATAGAAACGAGAACTTGCTGAAATTCCAGGTTCGATCCGCTTCCATAAATCATACCAAACATCAGAATTTGTCCAAATTCTTTCTAAGTCGAAGTGAGACATTTTCAGTACCATCTTATAAAAATATTTGGATATGTCCATAAGTCCATAGTCTAATGATGACAAATCAATTATTTTAGACATGTTTTTCAATATAATGTACGTCCTTGTGAATGTACTTATTTTTGTAGTGATATAGCGTGGATCAAACATTGGATCCCACTGAAGATATACGAGAACTCTTGAAAAGGGACTCACATCTACTACGTATTCAACTGCCATTGGTGGGAAATTGAAGCAGACAAAAGGGTAACATAAAGATGTGAGATATGTTAGGCTTGCAGAGCAATATGTTAAAAGTAATACGCAGCTTCACAAGGCCGAGGTTTTCTACCAATTGGTAAAGCTCTCTTCTTCAGTAATCTAAGAGCCTGCAACAGATGTGGATGATCCTCCTAAATCTGCTTTCTATAATGGCGCATGGCTGAGTTAGAACGTTCGCTTTCTCACCATGAGACTCGGTTTCGAATCCTGGTGAATTTGCCAGCTGTTTTTTTTTTCTTCTGATTCCCGATAAACAGTTCAATATAGGTTTTCATTTCAGCCGTATACGTTTGTTTTTTGTTTTTGTTTTTTTGTTTGTTTTTTTTTTGTGGGGTGGGGGTTGTTCTTTTATCTTTTTATCTAATCGCTTTCTCGCAGATTTCATTTCGATATTCTATAACATCCCATTTTTTCACATTACTGAATTCATGTCGGTATCTTAAGTGTGTCATCCTTAGCTAATATATTTTGATTTATTTCTTATATTACAGCTGTTAGTCTTTTTGCAGTGCTTTGTATTTGATTCATCACGCGGTTGGTTCTTTCCAGGTTTTTTTTTTTTTTTTTGTTCTCTTAAGTACGTTTCTTTACGGATTTTAATTTAGTCTCATCTCCCAACCAGCTTTTACATATTTGTTGCTGTTGTGCACTCTCTGTAAATATCAAATCTATTTTCTTCCCACATATATTAAGTGCTTAAGGCATAAGGAAAGATGGATGTTCTCCACAAACTTATTTACCATCTATAGTTCAGTCTGTTGTTAACTGGGACAAAGAGTGGCTTGTTAATTTTAGCACCTCCAAAAACTAAACTTCTCTTGATTAATCATCTGAGAGAACCTTCTCTGCCTTCCATCAGAATGGCCGATGCTATCTCCCTGCAAAGTAACTCATCGTGCCTTCTCAGGCTAATGTTCTTAGCTGACATGAAGTGGAAAGACTATATTGAATCCATTGCTAGGACAACTGCTGAGAAAGTTGTTTCACTGCGTCGGGCGAGACAATTCTTCTCTCCAGAATCTATCTATAAGTCTACCAATCGTCCATGCTTAGACTATTGCTGCCATATCTGGTCCGGTGTCGCTGCTATTTACCTGAAACTCTTTGATAAGATCCAAAGAAGAATCTGCAATATTATGGGTCCTGATGTGGCGGCTAGGCTTCACTCACTTGCCCATCGCTGTAAGGTTGCCCCTCTGTGCATTTTTTTATAAATATTTTCATGGTAATTGTTCGGAAGAGCTCTTTGCTATGATACCTAGACTGTATGAATTTAAACGGCAGCTGATGTACAAAACGACCTCAGGGCCGTCGGTAACTGGGGCTTCTCAATTTTAACACCTCCAAAACTAAACTTCTCTCGATTAATCATCTGAGAGACACTCCACTCTGCCTTCCATCAGCATGGCTGATGCTAACCTCCTAGGATAACGTTCTTGTCTGACATGAAGTGGAAAGAATATTGAATCCATTGCAAAATCAGCTGCTAAGAAAGTTGGTTCATTGTGCTTTCCAGAATCTATGTCTACCATTCGTCCATATTTAGAATATTACTGCCACATATGGTCCTGTGCTCTTGTTATATATCTAGAGATTCTTGATAAAATCCAAAGAAGAATCAGCAATATTATAGGCCCT